AGAGACAGGGTTTCACCATGTTGACCAGCCTGGTCTCACTAACCTCAGGTGATCCACCTGCCTTGGCCTCCCAAAGTGCTGGGATTACAGGCATGAGCCACATGCCCAGCTCTAAATATTGTTTTATAGCTTCTAATGATGACATTTGCTTAGGATCAATACACATCTTTTCTAAAGTATCTTTTCTATTTAAACTTTCTAGCAACCTGACAACATTGTTTATGTGATGGATGCCTCCATTGGGCAGGCTTGTGAAGCCCAAGCTAAGGCTTTTAAAGATAAAGTAGATGTAGCCTCAGTAATAGTGACAAAACTTGATGGCCATGCAAAAGGAGGTGGTGCGCTCAGTGCGTAAGTATCATTGATACTGTTGTCCTCTGTCTTGGGATTATATGGGGAAGGATATATGTTTATAGCTTTCATATTGATCATTTAAAATATGTTTCATTAGTGAACCTAGTATGGTTTATAAAGGAAGTTTAAATAGAAATTTTGGAGCCTGTCTGATAGAGTTCTTTTGTAACTAGTGAAATGAAACTTGAGTTTTGTACCTTTGTCTAATTAGCTTTGGAGGCAGATTCACTTCGAATTTCAGATCTGCTGGAAATTTATGGGGTTCTTTTGAAGTTATTTTATATTTTCTTTTTTTTTTTTTTTTTTTTTTTTTTTTGTTGCTGCCACAAAAAGTCCTATAATTTTCATTGGTACAGGGGAACATATAGATGACTTCGAACCTTTCAAAACGCAGCCTTTTATTAGCAAACTTCTTGGTATGTACAGTGGTGGAGATATAGAAAAATCTCCGAGAAATACTATGTATCTTTAGGACTAAATAGGATTTTAATTCTGCCTCACTAATTTAAGAACATCATTTCCTTCTATGACTTATTTTCCTTACCTGTAAAATAGAGATAATGGTTATTGGCTTTCTGTGGTGAAAGTGGTAAAATGAAGTATCTAGTAGAAAGTTCTTTTTTTTTTTGGAGACCCCACTGGGGTTTGGAAAGTTCTTTGGAAAAGCTTTAGAGCACAATACAAAAATAAGTGGTTTTAGTAATAGCGGATGTAAGGGCAATAATACTTTGGCAATGTCTCAAGGTGGTATAGCTAGAGAACATGGAATTTGGAGTTAAACCCTAGGCTGGAGTCCCTGCTTTTCTACTTTGTTGCTACTTGACTTTCTTTCTTCCTTTTTTTTTTGAGATGGAATTTTGCTCTTGTCACTCAGGCTGGAGTGCAGTGCTGCAATCTTGGTTCACTGAACCCTCTACCTCCCAGGTTCGAGCAATTTTCCTGCTTCAGCCTCCTTAGTAGCTGGGATTACAGGCATGCGTCACCAGACCCAGCTAATTTTTGCATTTTTAGTAAAGACAGCGTTTCACCATGTTGGCCAGGCTGGTCTCAAACTCCTGACCTTAGGTGACCTGCCTCAGCCTCCCAAAGTGCTGGGATTACAGGCAGATTTGCTGCGCCCAGTCATGCCACTTAACTTTCTTAGCTTCAGTTTTCTCATTTGCATAGTGTAGTAAGAATACCTAACCCATCATCATAACCTCACAAGATTATTATGTATGTGAATGTGTTTTGTATAATGTAAAGCAAGGTATAGTGTTAGTTGTTAATTTTTCTTTTTTTATCTTATAGGTATGGGTGACATTGAAGGACTGATAGATAAAGTCAACGAGTTGAAGTTGGATGACAATGAAGCACTTATAGAGAAGTTGAAACATGGTATATGAATGACAAAAGAGAACTTGATCTCAGATGTCTTCCATTAATTTTTTATAAAGTTACTAAGTTGTTTGAAATGTAATTTTATTAGTTATATCGTCTGCTTATTATTTTAGATGATTTATATGCAAATTATTTTAAATCTCAGTCATCTGAACTGTTATAGAATTCAGTGTTTTTATTAAAATTAAGATTAAAATCAAGGCTTTCATTAGGTTCCTTGAAGTTTTTTTGTTTGTTTGTTGTAGACAGAGTCTCACTCTGTTACCAGGCTGGAGTGCAATGGCGCAATCTTGGCTTACTGCAGCCGCTTCCTCCTGGGTTCAAGTGATTTTCCTGCCTCAGCTTTCTGAGTAGCTGGGATTAAAGGCACGCACCACCAGGCCCGGCTAATTTTTGTATTTTTAGTAGAGATGGGGTTTCCCCATGTTGACCAGGCTGATCTCAAACTGCTAACCTCAGGTGATCTGCCCACCTCAGCTTCCCAAAGTGCTGGATTACAGGTGTGAGCCACTGTGCTCTGCTGGTTCCTTGAAGTTAAACACGTTAAAAGTAAGTTAGAACACACCCTTCTAATCTGTTTTCTTATAAATTTCTTCATATATATGTATAATATATAAAAAGAAATGTAAAAGGATGAAATTAAATATACCACATTTTCTTTACTCCACATGAAAGACCCCTCCTGTAGAGAAGGATATTATTCTGATTAGGAGCTCAGGTTCTTAAATATAACATACCTGTACTTGTATCTCTGATGTATTTTTTGGCTGTATTAACTTTTCGAAATTACTTAGCCTCAATTTTGTCATCTATAAAAAGTACATAATACTACTTCATATGGTTGTGAAGATTGCATTACCTGATACATGTACAATCTCCGGCACATCATAAATGTTTAATGTATTTTATTCTCTACCATTCTGGTTTTTCTAAAAATAATCTTTTACTTATTTACCATAGCAAAAATTCTGCCTCTTTGCTTCTTCTCACTCATTTCATCAAATAATTATGCCTTTACTTTTCTCTTAAATGCTAATGTTTCTCAGGGATCATTCTAAGTCATCTTTCCCTGGAGCTTCAGACTCATGTATCTGTGTTTACTAGACCATTCTTGGATGTTGCATAGACACCTCAAATTCAGCATATCCTTATCATCCTATCCCAACCTCTCACCTCCTTGTCTCATCAATGAATGTTAACATCATTTATATTGTTACCAGAGTCAGAAACTTAGGTGTCATTATTATTTCTTCCTCACCCTGCCCGCTCCTTTCTCCATCAGTTAGCTAGTCCTAGCATTTCTACATCCTAAATATCTCCATTCCATCCCCTTCTCTGTAGCCGCCCTACGGCTATGCTAGTTCATCTCTTTCCTAGATTGTTTATTGTGAGTCTTTCAGCAGATCTTCCAGCTTCCAATAGTCCTCCCCTTTGATGTATTTTTTCATAGTACAGCCAAAATGATTTTTCACAAATGCACATCTGATCCCATTACTGCTCTTCTTAAAGTTCTTTAGTGGCTTTCTGTTGCCCTTATAAAATTTTTAACTGATTTTACCATCTAGCTAACATCTTCCATGTTGTGTTTTAGCACTGTTGTTCTTAGTATTCTATGTATCAGCTATGCTGGACTTCTTTCAATTTCTCAAATGTACATTTCTGTCTCTCACATCTGGGCTGTTGACTTTGCTAGTCCTTCTATCTCTCTTCTTACCTCTACCTTCCTCTCCTCTAGCTAATATGGCACCCTACTTACACTAAATGTCCTTTTTCAGGGACATTTTACTTGAACCCTAGACTGAGTTGGAACTTTCTGATAGATGTTTCTATCACTTCCTACAATTAATTTTTGTATTATTCATCGCAATTATTTGATATCTGTTTTCTCTGCTAAAAGGTAAAAGTAGAAGTCATAGCTGTGTTACTCATCTTTTATGTTCACAGTACCTAACACAGTATCTGGCACATAGTAGGTCTTCAGTTACTATTGAATGAATGAATTTATCCTTCATTGCCTGTTTCTTTGCTCCTTTTTCTTTTTAGATGGAACCTTCCTCTGTTGCCCAGGCTGGAGTGCATTGGCACAATCTCAGCTCACTGAAACCTCTGCCTCCCAGGTTCAAGCAGTTCTCCTGCCTCTGCCTCCCCAGTAGCTGGGACTAGAGGCGTGCACCACTACTCCTGGCTAATTTTTGTATTTTAGTAGAGACAGGGTTTCACCATGTTGGCCAGGCTGGTCTTGAACTCTTGTCCTCTCGTGATCTACCTGCCTCTGCCTCCCAAAGTGCTGGGATTACAGGTGTGAACCACTACGCCCAGCAAGGATACCTTTTTTTTTTTTTTCACAAATGCACAGTAACCCACACCCAATCAAGAAACAGAATGTATCCATTACTCTAAAAGGTTTGTTTATGCCCATTTCCAGTAATGCTTCATATTATAGAATTCCTGGGCTGTGCATGGTGGCTCACACTGTAATCCCAGTGCTTTAGGAGGCCAAAGGGAGAGGATCAATTCAGGCCAGGAATTTGAGACCAGGCTAGGTAACATAGGGAGACCCCTATCTCTTAAGAAAAATCCAGCGGCATGCATCTGTAGTCTTGGCTACTCTGGAGACTGAGGCAGGAGGATCACTTGAGCTCAGGATCAGACCTCAGGTTTGAGGCTACCAGTGAATTATGACTGTGCCATTGCAATCCAGTCTGGGTGATAGAGCATAACCCTCTTAAAAAAAAAAAAAAAAAAAAAGGAAATTCTGAGTATATCCTTTTTTTCTAATCTGTTTTCTTTGATTAACCATATTTTGATATTCATTCATGTAGTTGCACTTATCTATAGTTTGTTCTTTTTATTGCTGAAAAGTATTTTTCCCACAGTGTATCATATTTTTCCCATTTTCCTGTTCATAGATAACTAAGCTATTTAAGAAACTCCAAACAATCTTCTAAAGTGTTTTGCTATTTTATATTCTCACCAGCAATATATGGGAGTTCTTTGTGGTACATGTCCTCTTGAACTTTTGATACTGTCAATCTGTTATAAATTGTACTTATCCTAGTAGGTCTAGTTTATGTGCCTTGTTTTCAGGTTTCTTGTGTGTTTGCATTTGTGTCTTCTCAGATGGAATGTAAGCTTCTCTAGGATAAGACCTATGTGTCTGTATATTCTCCCCAGCATTCATCCTGTCATCTTGCACATGGTAACTGCTTAGTGAATACTTATTGATTGTGTATTTTATAAGTACGCTTCAAGATGAATTCATGATTAAGGAAGAAATTACTTCTATTGAATGGAAATGTTCGTTCTCTAATATATCCAAATTATTTGTATTTCAGGTCAGTTTACATTGCGAGACATGTATGAGCAATTTCAAAATATCATGAAAATGGGCCCCTTCAGTCAGATCTTGGTTAGTTATCCTTAAAAATTTATTTATACCTTCTTTTGTTTTCATTAAAATTTCTAAGAATAAATATACTTGCTTTAATTATTTTTTACACTTGAGTAAAAATAGATATCTTAAGACTTAATGTCAAAAACCTAATTGTTAAATGTGTACATTTTGAACAGTTAATCTTAAGCTATCATTTACTTTATATTTAAATCTGTTTTAGGGGATGATCCCTGGTTTTGGAACAGATTTTATGAGCAAAGGAAATGAACAGGAGTCAATGGCAAGGCTAAAGAAATTAATGACAATAATGGATAGTATGAATGATCAAGGTAAGATGGCAGATTATTTATCTCAGGTGACAATGTTCTAAATATCAGTAAGTTAGTTGCACTGTGTTCTCGTGGACAAGATGGTCAGAAATTTAGATTGAAAGAGTATTTTTACGTAGATTTATAATAGCTTGAAGGCTCTTAGTTATGATTATTGGATTGCCTTCATCATTGAGAGAAATGTCTAGTACAGTACTTCTCCAAATGAGTTACAAGGAAAGAACACTAGTTCTTCATGATGTTGACAGAGATAAATTAAAAGGAGAACTCTGTAGTCAAATTTGGTTGAATGCTGGTTTTTAAGAATTAAATTTGGCCAAGTGAGGTGGCTCACACCTGTAATCCTAGCACTTTGGCAGCCCAAGGTGGAAGGATTACTTGAGGCCAGGAGTTTAAGACAACATAGCAAGACTCTGTCTCTACGAAAAAAAAAAATTTATTGAAAGTCTATTCATAGCTTTAATATTGTTAGCATACATTGGGAAACTGTAAGAGATGGATAGCTTAAGCAATGCTTACAAAATTCTTTCGGTCTGAAACATAAGGTTTTAGTTCTCTCAGTATACTGCTCTGTCTCCCTGACCCTGTAAAGGCATACCTCAGAGATATTGTGAGTATGGTTCTCGACCACTGCAATAAAGGAAATATCATGCAATAAAATGAGTCATAACTAATTTTTTGGTTTTCCAGCGTATATAAAAGTTATGTTTACACATATGTATACTGTATCTATTAAGTGTGCAGGAGCATTATGTCTAAAAAACGATGTACAAATACAACAATTAGCCAGGTATGGTGTTGTGCACCCATAGTCCCAGCTACTTGGGAGGGGAGGCAGGAGAATCACTTGAACCCGGGAGGCAGAGGTTTCAGTCAGCTGAGATTGCACCGTTGTACTCCAACCTGGGTGACAGAGCAAGACTCCCTCTCAAAAGAAAAAAAGTTTATTGCTAAAAATGCTAATGATCATCTAAAGCCTTCAGTGCATCATAATCTTTTTGCTGGTAGAGGGTCTTAGCTTAATGTTGATGACTGCTAACTGATTATGGTGATGGTTGCCAAAGGTCAAGGTGGCTCTGGCAATTTTTTAAAAGACAAGAATGAAATTTGCCCCATGGATTGACTCTTCTTTTCACAAAAGATGTCTCTGTAGTATTCAATGCTATTCAATAGCATTTTACACACAGTAGAACTTCTTTCAAAATTGGAGTCAGTTCTCTCAAACCCTGCTGCTCTTTTTCAACTAAGTTTATGTAATATTCTAACAATTTGAACAATTATTCATATCTATGATTTATTATTTTTTTGTAGTCTCTTTTTCCTGAGCTCCAGGTTTTCATAGTAACCCAAATAAGACTGTCTTTTTCTTTTAACATTATCTTTTTCATCACCATCTCTGACACTGCAAAAATGTTTGCATGTAGAATTCATAATTGCAACATATCTCAAGTATCCATTCAGTGCCATGCACTGTCCTGAACACTTTACATATTCATTTTATCATCATGACAACTCCTGTGGCATATTCAGTTATTATCTTCCTTTTTCAAATTAGGAAACTGTAGTACAGGGAAGTTGAGTAATTTGCCCAACGTTACTAGAGAATGGAGAGGCTGGACTTGAAACCTAAGCATTCTGGTACAAGTCCATGGTCTTGAAAACTGCCTCTCTAGGTGCTCCTAAATGCTAGATAGACTTTTCTTCTTACATGTTTGAAAGTTTTCCAAGACATTTGGGATTCAAAAGTAGCACTTCTTCCTTGGTAAGTGATACTTCATCTATCTACCGCATCACCTAAGCTAGAAACTGGGGTGAACCTAGATATATCCTTGCTGATTTTCTCTCTAGAGGTTCTATTGATTATCGATATCGAAGTATGAGAGTGACTTAAATTTTCTTCTGTCACTTGTGTCAGTTTTGCTTCATGTGTTTTCAAACTCTTTTGTTGGGTGCATTCAGATTTAGGATTTTGTCTTCTTGGTGATTGACCCTTTTATCATTATGTCACATCCCTCTTTGTTCCTGGTCTTTTTTTTTTTTTTTCGAGATGGAGTTTTGCTCTTGTTGCCCAGGCTGGAATGCAATGGCACCGTGTTGGCTTACTGCAGCCTCTGCTTTCTGGGTTCAAGCGATTCTCCTGCCTTAGCCTCCCCAGTAGCAGGGATTACCAGGCATGCACCACCATGCCTGGCTGATTTTGTATTTTTAGTAGAGCTGGGGTTTCTCCATGTTGGTCAGGCTGGTCTCGAACTCCCGACCTCAGGTGATCTGCCCACCTTGGCCTCCCAAAGCGCTGGGATTACAGGTGTGAGCCATCACACCTGGCCTTCCTTTCACTGTTTTTTGCTTGGTTGTTTGTTTTTGAGACAGACCCTCACACTATCACCCGGGCTGGAGTGCAATGGTGCGACCTCAGCTCACTGCAACCTCCGCCTCTCGGGTTCACGTGATTCTCCTGCCTCAGCGTCTCGAGAAGCTGGGATTACAGGTGCACACTACCATGCCTGACTACTTTTTTGTAATTTTTAGTAGAGACATGGTTTTACTATGTTGATCAGACTGGTCTCAAACTCCTGACCTCATAATCTACCTGCCTCAGCCTCCCAAAGTGCTGGGATTATAGGCGTGAGCCACAGTGCCCGACCTATTCCTTTTACTTTTAACCTACTGTCTAAGTCTGTTTGTGCTGCTATAACAAAATACCTGAGGCTGAGAAGACCCCAAGATTTGTGCTGCTGGTCTTGTCTCTGCCTCCAAGATGGTACCTTTTTGCTGTGCCTCCAGAGTGGCAAATGGCTGTGTCCTCACATGGTGGAAAGGCAGAAGGACAAAAAAGGGGCCTTGTTTTCTCCAGCCCTTTTACAAGACCACTAATCCACTGTGTGTGTGTGTGTGTGTGTGTGTGTGTGTGTGTGTGTGTGTGTGTCTGTGTTTTTGAGATGGGTGTCTTACTCTGTTGTCCAGGCTGGAGTGCAATGTTGCAATCTTGGCTCACTGCAACCTCTGCCTCCTGGACTCAAGCAATCCTCCTGCCTCAGCCTCTGACCGTACACATGCACCACCATGCCCAGCTAATTTTTGTATTTTTTGTTGAGTTGGACTTTACCATGTCACCCAGACTGGTCTTGAACTCCTGGACTCAAGTGATCTGCCCACCTTGGCCTGAGATTGAGCTGGGATTACAGGCATTAACCACCATGCCTGGCTACCAATCCATTCTTGAGGGTAGCGCCCTTATAACCTAATTACTTCCCAGAAGCCACACCTTTTAATACTGTTGCTTTAGGGACTAAGTTTCAACATGAATTTTCAGGGGACATACAACATTCAGATCATAGCACCTACCTATTCATATTTGAAGTGAGTTTCATGTTGACAGCATATAATTGGGTTATTTTAAAAAATATTCTGATAATCTTTGTCTTTTAATGGGTGTATTATTGCTATGTTAGGATTTAGTTCTGTCATTTTATTATTCGTTTGTTTATGCCCTCTGATTTTTATTCTTGTTTCTCCTTTTCTGCTTTCCTGTGGGTTACCCGAATATTAATTAGTATTTCATTTTAATTTACCTATAATAGTTTTGAAAATATCTCTTTGAATACTTTTCTTAATGGTTGCTCTAGGCATTATACTATATGCACATGCTTAATTTTTTTTTCTTTTTTCTTTATATGAACAGTGGTTTTGTTGTCCACATGCTTAATTAGTGTTTTTTGAGTTGGAGATTCACTCTGCCACCCAGGCTGCAGTCCAGTGGTGAAATCTCGGCTCACTGCACCCTCTGCCTCCCAGGTTCAAGCAATTCTCCTGCCTCAGCCTCCCAAGCAGCTGAAATTACAGGCATGTGCCACCATGCCTGGCTAATTTTATATTCTTTACTAGAGATGGGGTTTCACCATGTTGACCAGACTGGTCTCGAACTCCTGACCTCAGGTGATCCACTTGCCTCTGCCTCCCAGAGTCCTGGGATTACAGGTGTGAGCCACCATGCCCGGCCTGCAAATGCTTAATTTATCACAGTCTACATATATCAGTATTTTGCTACGTCAAGTGGAATGTAGAAACGTTAACATCACCTTAGATTTGCTGAGTCATACTTCCTATATTTCTCTCATCTTCCCTCTTATATTTGTCTCTGTATTACCCTGAGTTAATTTATACTCTTGTCATTTCTTACCTGGATTACTCCAGTAGCCTCCTCCTATTTCCCCCTTCTTTATTGCATTCCTGTTTTAATCTTTCTTCTTTGGTGCCACCAGAATAGTCTTTTCAGTAATAACAATCCTGGGGTCTAAATTCTTTAGTGGTTCTTTATTGCTTTTATTAATTCCAAACTCCTGAACCTGAATACAAGTTCTATTATAATTTTGACATTACCTGCCTTTTCAGCGTTTTAAATCTCTCAGCTCTCATCTGCGCTCAGCCCTTTTACAGAAAACTGGTTGTTTATTTTAGGAATCCATGTTTTGCTTCTGAAAGTATTCCTTGCTCCTTTCTCTTCTTTTTACTCACATTTGTCCTTTTAGGACTACAGCATATCTAAAGTATCTGTTCTGTGCTAGGCACTGTCCTGAGCACTTTACATATATGAATTCATATTGTCATCATAACAACTCCTATGGCATATTCATTTATTCTCTGCCTTTGTCATATTAGGAAACTACGGTACAGGGAAGTTGAGTAATTTGCCCATCACAGAATCTTACCTGACTTCCTTCCTTCCTTTGAATTAAGGCCCCTTCCACTATTTGCTTAACTCTTGTCATATTGCTTGCCATAATGTGCTGCTATTAGTTTATCTTTCATTTGATTTGAGCTGTTGGAAGGAATAGCATATATATTTCATAATGAAGGTGAGGCTTAAAAGCACATTTATGAAATGGATTTGGAGATTTTGACCTTAAGTTTATTTTTGAGATATTATGTCTTTGTTAGTATTGCATTGATAATTAGATTTCAGCTGGATTTCAGTTCACTTCTGCATAATATATTTAGAGGGTATAGGCAATTAGAAGATACAGGAAATCAGGATGATAAATGGGATTCTAATCCATGTTATGAGAGAAGAGTCAAGAGTTGGATATTTGTCACCCAGCAAAAATTCACAGGAGACATGGTGGCTCTTACGAGTTTGAAAGTTGGCCAGGTGTGGTGGCTCTCACCTGTAATCCCAGCACTTTGGAAGGCCAAGGTGGGTGGATCACTTGAGGTCAGGAGTTTGAGACCAGCCTGGGCAACATGGTGAAACCTGTCTTTAAAAAAAACACAAAAATACTAGCTAGCTGTGGTGTCGTGTGCCTGTAGTACCAGCTACCCGGGAGCCTGAGGTGGGAGACTCGCTTGAACCCTGGAGGTGGAGGTTGCAGTGAGCCAAGCTTGCGCCACTGCACTCCAGCTTGAGTGACAGAACAAGACTCTGTGTCTAAAAAAAAAAAAAAGATTTTGAAAGCCTTATTTTTTGTGTCTGGCAAGGAGACATATACATGAATAGGAATGGACGTGCCAGGTAAATGGACTTCAATTTAATATGTGAAAAGAAAAGATTTTTCCCTAAGTATAACAGAATGGCATAGACAGCCTTACATTAGATAGCAGGTCATCTCTCCTGGATATTAAGACCAAGGCTAGATAACCATTTACCTAGGGGATATTGCAGAGGGAATGCAGACATAATGGACTAATGTCCATCCCTTCTTGAGATTGCGTGCAACTGAAGCCAGAAGAAATGCACTTCATATTCTAAGAGTGATCAACTGGGAATTAATTCACTGTTTATATGCTACTGAGAGAACTAAAATACTAGTAGTAGTAATTACTTGATTATAGGAAATAATTTTTCTGTTGATTATGGATAGAACCTATCTCCTGCCTGCTTATACAGTCTAAATTTATGAATTAATGATTAATAGTTATTTAGGGTAGAGCTAAGGTGGGCATCTGTGTTCATTTTTGAAATATACCATATACCTCTGGTGTTTGGAGGGCCTGGAGAAGGTGGACATATGAAGTATGGAAGTGGTGGACATGGGGTCTCAAAACATTCTATTAATAGTTTACTTAATCTGTAGGGAAAGTACATGTTAGTTTGTTTATAGCTTAGGAATACTATGAATGTTCTTTGAACATATTCTGTGTTTAATTTTTAAAAATCAAATGCAAACAGTGAATTATAACATTTGTTAAATCTGGGTGGTGTTTTGACTATGTATTATGTCTGTTTTTCTATAAGTAAAATATTTTGTAATATAGAAGGAGAAAAATGAGATAGTTATCACTTTAAAAACATAACCTGCTAAGCTATCTGAAGTTATATATTGCCCATCTGCACACAGCTGCTTTGATGGTAAATAATTGTGTGTGAGAGTAATTGACCCTTGTCTACAGAACTAGACAGTACGGATGGTGCCAAAGTTTTTAGTAAACAACCAGGAAGAATCCAAAGAGTAGCAAGAGGATCAGGTGTATCAACAAGAGATGTTCAAGAACTATTGACTCAATATACCAAGTTTGCACAGATGGTAAAAAAGATGGGAGGTATCAAAGGACTTTTCAAAGGTAAGGAAAAATAAGCTTGTTATTAGTTAACAGACTGAAAAGAAGTAAGCTGAGAAAAAAGTTAAGAGTACTGAAATTCACAGCTGAATTTCATGTTATTTTCAAGTACTTCCAGCATTGATAGAGTGACCTGTGATTTATCTGTTTTCATAGTCAAGTAATAAACATTAATTAAAAAAAAACAAAACTTACATCTTTGTAGTGTGGGTAAATGAAAAAATAAATAAAAAATAAAACTTAATGATTTTATTTTTATGAAGACATTATATTAAATTTAGATAATATAAGGAAAAAAAATTACCTTTACTCCTCAGAGAATCCAGTGGATCCTACTGCAAATAACAGTTGCTATAACTAGGCTGGGCGCAGTGGCTCCTGCCTGTAATCCAAGCACTTTGGAGGCCAAGGCGGGCAGATCACCTCTGGTCGGGAGTTCAAGACCAGCCTGACCAACATGGTGAAACCCCGTCTTTAAAAAAAAAAAAAACCAGTTGCTATAACTAATGTTTTCTTCTGATATATCATAACTGTTTTTTCATGTTGTCAAATAGTCTTCCAAATATAATTCTTGGCTGGGTGTGATGGCTCATGCCTATAATCCTAGCACTTTGGGAGGCCAAGAGGGGCAGATCATTTGAGGTCAGGAGTTGAAGACCAGCCTGGCCTGCATGGTGAAACCCTGTCTTTACTTAAAATACAAAAAATAGGCCCGGCACCATGGCTTATGCCTGTAATCCCAGCACTTTGGGAGGCCGAGGTAGGCGGATCACAAGGTCAGGAGTTCGAGACCAGCCTGGCCAAGATGGTGAAAACTCGTCTCTACTAAAAATACAAAAATTAGCCAGGTGTGGTAGTGGGTACCTGTAATCCCAGTTACTTGGGAGGCTGAGGCAGGGAGAATCACTTGAACATGGGATGTGGAGCTTGCAGTGAGCCGAGATCATGCCAGTGCACTGTAGTGTAGGGGACAGAGCAAGACTCCGTCTCAAAAAAAAAAAAAAAAAAAGGTACAGTTTTACTAATGGTGACTTATTCACAGATATAAGTAAAGTATTAGCATAAATCATAGCCTTAAGAAAGTCCTTTAAATGTCCTTTTATATAGAATTTTACATGTTCTTCAAAAAATAGTATGTAATTGAGATAAAGATTAGAAAGGAATATGTTAAAATAGAAATAATTATGTTAGAGTGATAAGATTATGTAATTTTTTCTTTGTATTTACTCTTTGTATCTTCTTTGTATTTACTCAGTTCATCAAACTTGCTATTTTTTATTACTTTTTATTTATTTGTTATTATTACTATTTTTGAGACAGAGTTTCGCTCTTGTTGCCCAGGCTGGAGTGCAGTGGCACATCTCAGCTCACTCTGCCTCCCAGGTTCAAGCGATTCTCCTACCTCATCTACCAGAGTAGCTGGGAGAACAGGCATGCGTCACCACACCCAGCTAATTTTGTATTTTTATTAGAGATGGAGTTTTTCCATGTTGGTCAGGCTATTCTTGAACTCCTGTCCTCACGTGATTCACCCTCCTTGGCCTCCCAAAGTGCTGGGATTACAGGTGTGAGCTACTGCACCCGGCCAATTTTTATATTTTTAGTAGCGACAGGGTTTCACCATGTTGGCCTGGCTGTTCTCAAACTCCTGGCCTCAAGTGATCTGCCAGCCATGGTCCGCCATGCCTGCTGGGATTACAGGCATAAGCCACTGCGCCCAGCCCCCTCAAACTTTCTGTTATACCCTGATTATATTACCTCCCACACTGACTCAAAATCTTTTTTTTTTTTTTTCAGGTGGCGACATGTCTAAGAATGTGAGCCAGTCACAGATGGCAAAATTGAACCAACAAATGGCCAAAATGATGGATCCTAGAGTTCTTCATCACATGGGTAAATACCAAGTTGTTGGCAGTTGCTAATGCAGTTTAATTTATAAGGGTTGAGTTTTAATTATAAGCTTTTTGTTGTGATAGTATGAAAATCTGTTCAAAAGATGTGTGATTTTAGGGAAATGGTCATCTGAATCCTAAGTTGAATTAAATTGTAATAGTGGCTTATTAGCTGAGGTCTTATTCAGTGCTCTGCTGCCATCTTTGTGATTTTTAATCATCTTTTGTTTGAGCAAGCTATTTAATCATCTTTTGTTTGTTTGTTCTGGTGACTTTTTCCCTTGTTTTAGAACCTGGATATTTTTAATGATACGACTGAGGATTTTTAACCTTAGTTCTACTTTGACTGTATAACCTTTACAAAGTTCCTTAAGCTTTCTGAACCTCACTTTCCCCTTCTGTAAAATCACAGATCGTATCTCATCAACAAATTGTGACAATTAAATGAAATGATATATATGAAAACATTTAGTATGATTTCTGGGCATATAGTAGATGTTCAATAAATGAATTACTTTCTTTTTGTAAGTCCTATGAAATAATTCCCTATTGATTATTTTTTACGTAATTTAGAGGAAGACCCTTTTGGATTTATAAGAAAAAAATTTTAGATTTTTTTTTTTTTTTTTGAGACAGTTTCACTCTTGTTGCCAGGCTAGAGTGCAGTGGCCAATCTTGGCTCACCGCAACCTCTGCCTCCTGGGTTCAAGAGATTCTCCTGCATCAGCCTCCTGAGTAGCTGGGATTAGAGGCATGTACTACCACGCCCGGCTAATTTTGTATTTTCAATAGAAACAGAGTTTCTGAGACTCCATGTTTGGATCCCCTTCCACGAACACTCCCTTCGTGGGAGCCTCTCTTCTCCTAAACTCCATCTCTCTCTGTTCCCGTCCACTCAGTGTGGAAGCTGCTTTCCTCTCCTGCATTCCATCTTTCTGCATTCTCTCACTCAGTGTGAGAGTTAGCTATTTCTTTCTCTCTCCTTTTCCTGTTTCTCTCTCTCTCTAAATAAATCACTTTCTACAAAAATAAAAAAAATAAAAATAAACGGAGTTTCTCCATGTTGGTCAGGCTGTTGTTGAACTCCTGACCTCAGGTGATCTGCCCACCTCAGCCTCCAGAAGTGCTGGGATTACAGGCGTGAGCCACTGCACCCGGCCTTTTGTTTAGATTTATTGACTGTGTGATGGGTACCACCCTAAGATCTTTTTTATGTATCACCTCATTTATTCCTCACAATAACTCCATAAGATAGGGTATTCATTCTCTTTTATTGATGACGATACTGGTGATAATATAAATTTTTAGGTGGCATGTTCTTTAAGGCTGATGACTAAACTGCAATCAGAATTCAGTATTTTTAGAAGTACTTATTAGGCAAAAGTAATAAATGTTAGGCTGGGCATGGTGGCTCACCCCTGTAATCCCAGCACTTTGGGAGGCTGAGGTGGGTGGATCACCTGAGGTCAAGAGTTCGAAACCACCCTGACCAACAAGGTGAAACCCCATCTCTATTTAAAAAAAAAAAAAAAGTAATGTTTCCAGTTCTGCTTAATAATTGTCTGTTTTTAACTCTGTTTCCCTACTTTTGTTCTAGGTGGTATGGCAGGACTTCAATCAATGATGAGGCAGTTTCAACAGGGTGCTGCTGGCAACATGAAAGGCATGATGGGATTCAATAATATGTAAAGAAAATGCCTTAATATAAACTGACTCAGTTGAATACCTAATTTGCTGAAACCTCAAAGAGTTTCCCTTCTTTTTGAAAATTGAGGGGAAAATGTATTTTTCTTGCCTATCATGCCCTCTTTTCTTCTCACCCTATTTCCCCCTCCTTTTCTTTTTCCTTCCTTCTTTCTTCCCTTTAATATAAGGGAGAAATATATGGTTTTTGTGGAAATCATTATATTTTTGCTTTAGATTTTTCTTCTGTTTTCACCATCATAACAAAACAAATCACGATGTAAAATTTTAGTACTTAAAGGTTTTTAATTGGCTCGAAGGCCAAGCATTAAATTTGTAAATGGTCCTGGTCAGTAGTTAAATAATGTTTCAATTAAAGTGCTGTAAAATAAACTTCAAAGTGGTTATAAGTTAAAAGGTTGTTAACTTTCTTTATGGTTAAAATTTATCAGTTTGATTATCACATAAAAAACTAAACAGAAAAGCCAATAGATAAATGTCATTTAAAACTATGCCTAGGGCTGGGCATGGTGGCTCATACCTGTAATCCTAGCACTTTGGGAGGCCAAGGTGGGTGGGTCACCTGAGGTCAGGAGTTCCAGATCAGCCTGGCCAACAGGTGAAACCTCATCTCTACTAAAAATACAAACACTAGCCAAGTGTGTTGTTGATGCATGCCTGTAGTCCCAGCTGCTTGGGATGCTGAGGCAGGAGAACTGCTTGAACCTGGGAGGCGGAGGTTGCAGTGAGCCGAGATTTGCACCACTGCACTCTACCCTGGGTGACAGAGTGAGACTTGATCACAAAACAACAACAACAACAACAAAAAAAAAAAAACCTATGACTGGAAATAAACCTTTAATGGGAAATACGGTAGAGTAACTTTATTATTAGAGTATTAGGAACTTTTGTTTAACTTAGAATAATTAAGATAATTTTGCCATGGAAAAATCTTAGCTCTGCCATTTAAATTGAAATTAAGAGGCCAGGTGCGGGGGCTCATGTCCAGGCTGGTCTGGAACTCAAGAGTTCAAATGATCCACCTGCCTCAGTCTTCCAAAGTGCTGGGATTACAGGCGCAAACCACTGCACCCAGCCAATCATTGTTTTTTTGTTTTGTTTTGTTTTGTTTTTTAAGACAGAGTCTTGCTTTGTTGCCCAGGCTGGAGTGCAGTGGCATGATCTTGGCTCACTGCAACCTCTACCTCCCAGGTTTAAGTGATTCTTCTGCCTCAGCCTCCTGAGTTGCTGGGATTACAGTCACACGACACAACACCTGGCCTTTTTTTTTTTTTTTTTTGAGACAGAGTCTCAATCTGTCGCTCAGGCTGAAGTGCAATGGCATGATCTCGGTTTACTCAGCTTCCCTAGAAGCTGGAATTACAGGCATGCCACCATACCCAGCTAATTTTTTTGTATTTTTATGGGTTTCACCGTGTTGGCCATGCAGGTCTTGAATTCCTGGCCTCAAGTGATGTGCCCACCTCGTCCTCCCAAAGTGCTGGGATTACCGGCATGAGCCATTTAACCTAATCTTTGATTTTTTTTTTTTTTTTTTTTTTTTTTTTTTTTTTTTTGAGACGGAGTCTCACTCTGTTGCCCATGCTGGAGTGCAGTGGTGCAATCTCAGCTCACTGCAACCTCCGCCGCCTCCTCAGTTCAATCAATTCTCCTGCCACAGCATCCTGAGTAGCTGGGATTACAGGTTTCACCATACTGGTCAGGATGGTCTCAAACTCTGACCTTGTAATCCAGCCGCCTCAGCCTCCTAAAATGCTGGGATTACAGGTGTGAGACATTGTCCCAGCCTATCTTTGATTTTTTTAAAGCCATTTTTGTTGTTTTCTACATACCAAAAATATACTTGAAGAATTTGATATACTTTGATGATAATAGCTAATGTATACATCTCCTAAAGGAAAAATAATTTCAAATATTAGGTTGTCACTATTACATATTAAAAATGACATGACAGTAGTCTGAGATCAGCCTGACCAACATGGTGAAACCCTGCCTCTATTGAAAATATAAAAATTAGCCGGGTGTGGTAGCATATGTCTGTAATCTCAGCTACTTGGGAGGCTGAGACAGAGAAATCCCTTGAACCTGGGAGGTGGAGGTTGCAGTAAGCCAAGATCATGCCATTGGACTCCAGCCTGGGTAACAAGAGTGAAACTCCATCTCAAAAAAAAAAAAAAAAAATGACCTGGACCTAAAATAAAAGTTAAAAAAATAAATAACAAGAATGGGACAAAGTTTTTTATTTGGTTTTTGGTTATGTTGGATTGCTGTATGAGTCATTTAGAACAATGGCTTTTAAATAAGGAATTGACAACACTGGAATAATTATTAATATTCCTATTTATTATTGACATCAATAAGATTATATGGTATAACAATGTATTTTGAATTAGTATGAACTGATCTTCAGCAAGGATTGATTTCTAGAAGTAGGAGAGAATGAAACAGTTTTTTTTTTTTTTTTTTTTTTTAGACGGAGTCTTGCTCTGTCACCCAGGCTGGAATGCAGTTGGCCCACTGCAACCTCCGCTTCCCTGGTTCAGGCAATTCTCCTGCCTCAGCCTCCCGAGTAGCTGGGATTACAGGCTCGTGCCACCACGCCTGGCTAATTTTTTTGTATTTTTTATTAGAAATGGGGTTTCACCATGTTAGCCAGGATGGTCTTAATCTCCTGACCTTGTGATCCACCTGCCTCGGCCTCCCAAAGTGCTGGGATTACAGGTGTGAGCCACCTCGCCTGGCCTAAGAAATAGTTTTTATGGTCCTAATTTTTTATGACTCGTGTTTTTAAACAGACTTGTAAACTGAAGTATCTTTAAAAAACAATTACATAAGGAATATAATGGGCTGGGAGTGATGGCTCATGCCTGTTATCTTGGCACTTTGGCTGAGGTGGGTGGGCAGATCACCTGAGGTCTGGAGTTTGAGACCAGCTTGGCTAACATGGTGAAACCCCATCTCTACTAAAATTTTTTTTTAAAAAATTAATCGGGCATGGTGGCAGGCACTTGTAATCCCAGCTACTTGAGAGGCTGCGTCAGGAGAGTTGCTTGAACCCCGGAGGTAGAGGTTGCAGTGAGCTGAGACCAGGCCACTGCACTCAGCCTGGGCAACAAGAATGTGAAACTTCCTCTCAAAAAAAAAAAAAAAAAGAATGCAATTGATTTTCTTGTTAACTTGGACAAACATTTTATATCCCACTAGTTTTTTTTGCTAGCTAAAGACTAGAATAACCCTATAGAAAATTATATACCATGTTAAAATGATGTATCTTGTGTTCTGCAGAAATCTTACCAAGCTATATTTGACAACAGAGAAAATACAGCTCTCCAAAGTAGTTCCTAATTAAACTGATGCATACTACCTTTTCTAGGTACATGTTTGTGATTTCTATTCTCAGGGTATCAATTTTGCCTACTGATGCATACTACCTTTTTTAGGTACATGTTTGTGATTTCTATTCTCAAGGTATCAATTTTGCCTACTGACAAAAAAAGGAAATTGAGACCTCTGGCCATAAGAACCTTTATGGCTTCAGGCATAGTTTTAAATATTTGTGTCTGACACAAACCATATTTTTCAGAAGCAGAAACAACAGTGACAAGACAGGCACAGTGAACAAGACACTGATGCACACCTGTAGAACCAGTTACTTGTGAGGCTGAGGTGGGAGAATCAGTCAGTTGCTTGAGTCCAGGAGTTGGTGGCTGCAGTGAGCTATGATCATTGATGAATAGTCACTGCTGATGAATAGCCACTGCACTCCAGCCTTGGTAACATAGCAAGACCTCATCTAAAAAGCAACTGAGTACAGTAGCTCATGCCTGTAATGCCAGCACTTTTGAGAGGCTGAGGTGGGCAGATCGCTTTAACCCAGGAGTTCCAAACCAACCTGGGAAAGAAATTCCATTGCTACAAAAGATACAGAAAGTAGGCTGGGCACAGTGTCTCATACCTGTGAAACCAGCACTTTGGGAGGCCAAGGTAGACAGGTCACTTGAGGTTAGGAGACCAGCCTAACCAACATGGTGAAACCCCGTTTTTACCAAAAATACAAAAATTAGCTGGTCATGGTGGAGGGCGCCTGCAATCCCAGCTATTTGGGAGGCTGAGGCATGAGAATCACTTGAACCTGGGAGGCAGAAGTTGCAGTGAGCCAAGATCATGCCACCACACTCCAGCCTGGGCGATGGAGTGAGGCTCTCTAAATATCTCAATGAAAAAAAAAAAAAAAAGTCAGGTGTGGTGGTGTGTGCCTGTAGTCCCAGCTTCCTAGAGGACTGAGGTGGAAGAATCACTTGGGCCTAGGAGGTCAAGGCTGCAATGAGCCAAAATGGCACCACTGCATTCCAGCCTGGATGACAGTGAGACCCTGTCTTTAAATAAGTAAATAAAACAAAGGACAACTAAAGGTTCAGGATACCTTGTTCAGCTTCCTTTTATCTTTCTTTTTCTGCTAAAATTAGGGAATTTAAAATGTTCTTTAAAATTGATTCTATTAGGTCCTCAAACTGGCATTTTAGTTACAAAAGCTATCCTTTAGTTCTCACAATTTTTATCAAGGTGATGTTTCACAGCCTAAGTACTATAGACATGTATTAGTCTGTTTTGATGCTGTTGATAAAGACATACCCAAGACTGGGTAATTTATAATGAAAATTAGGTTTAATGGACTTACAGTTCCAGGTGGCTGGGGAGGCCTCACAATCATGATGGAGGCCAAAAGGCACATCTTACATGGCAACGAGAGAATGCAAACCAGGCGAAAGGGTCTTCCCCTTAAAAAACTATCAGATCTCATGAGATTTATTCACTACTATGAGAACAGTATGGGGGAAACCGCCTCCATAATTCATTTATATTCTACCAGCCAAACCATATCATTCTGCCCTGGCCTCTCCCAGATCTTACATTTCAAAACCCATCATGCCTTCCCAACAGTCCCCCAAAGTCTTATTTTAGCATTAACTCAAAAGTCACAGTCCAAAGTCTCACCTGAGACAAGGCAAGTCCCTTCCACCTCTGAACCTGTAAACCTGTAAAATCAAAAGCAAGTTAGTTACTTCCTAGATACAATGAGGGTACAGGCATTGGGTAAATACAGCCATTACAAATGGCAGAAATTGGCCAAAACAAAGGGGCTATAGGCCCCATGCAAGTCCGAAATACAGTGGGGCAGTCAAATCTCAAAGCTCCAAAATGATATCTTTTGATTCTATGTCACATTTCCAGATCACGCCTGATGCAAGAGCTGGGCTCCCACAGCCTTGGGCAGCTCTGCCCCTGTGGCTTTGCAGGAACAGTCCCTCTCCTGGCTGCTTTCACGGGCTGATGTTGTCTGTGGTTTTTCCAGGTGCACAGTGCAAGCAGTTGGTGGATCTACCATTCTGGGGTCT